TTAATTCATTGTGCTACGACTGTAGGTTTTGAATTAATTGTTTAGTACGTAGTAATTCCCGACAGGGATAGCTAGCACAGTAGTGATATCCTGGCTGTAGAGGTATGGATTAAATTGATTGGAATATATGAATTAATCTGGATAGGATAGGTAGTGAATTCCGGTGTTTCTCCCAGAGCTTTCTCCATTGAATTTGTCCCGACAACTTTAATTTGCTTGTTTTGTTTAATTGTTAGCTAGTAGTTTCTTCACTAAAACATTTTTCACCTATAGTTTGCTCCATAGAATTGATATAATATAAGGTTGTACCAGTCCCTGAGAGACGATACCCGGACTTTCCGGGTTACTACGAGATAGGATATTGGCATATACGCTTTTTCCCTATCAATGAGTACCCTTAAAAGGGTTGGAAAAATGACACCCCTATTAATTATAGGCTTTTAAGGTAATTGATTAATGTTGCATTTAATAATCTATCTGAATTAAAAACTCATATTAATTAATTTCCTTTTTTCAGTCCATTGGTAGTTCTATCAGTGCAATGATATCAGTGTACAGGTGTAATGGTAGTTGTATCGGTGCAATGATAGTTCAAAAAAAAGAATGTAATTAATATGACTTCAGTGTGCAAGTGCAATGATAGTTTATCAGTGCAATGGTAGTTAAAAAAAAGGAATGTAATTAATATGAGTTTTTAATTACCAAATATTATTAAATACAACACGAATTTAATACCATAATTAACTATAATTAATAGGCGGTGTCATTTTTCCAACCCTATAGAGGGGTTAGCAAGCTAACTGATCCCCAATAACACTAATTGATCCCAATTTCCCTGAGGCGTTCAAGAATAAGTAAACGAATCAAAGAGACAAAGACCACGGCCTGCCGGAAGTGAACTGCTTGGATTCTTGTTTCCTTTCTCGAAGATATTGTCGCCGTTGGCAGTGGCAGCGGCAGCATAGGCGGAACTCCCGCGACAGCAACAGGACGAGGATATATTTTCTGAAGAAATATTTTCACAATCATCACCTCCGGACCGGCATCCGGTGGCAGCGGTGGCGGACAAAAGAGAAGAATGAATAAATCAAATTTGAATTTAATAATTTACTAGGCAGCCAATTATTTGCGGTTTGCAGTTTTGGACCGCAACCGCACGGTTTCGCATTAACTCGACCGCAAACCGTTAAAAATTTAGATCGCATATAAGACGCAAGTATTATGGTGCGGTTTGGCTCGACCGTAAATGCGGTTCAGAGCGGTTTGACAGCACCGATACCCACCCCTATTATTTGGTTAGCGAGTGGAGATTGGTGGCTGTGCTGCAAACCCATCCTCCTCAACAGTCTGGACCTTCCTTTTTCCCGGCTCTAACTTCACAGGGGATGTCAGTGATCCTAGATATTGTATTGGGGAAATGGCGCAGGTTGTTACGGTTGCCTCAACAACGATATGGAGCAATGAACTTGGGATTGGAGACCGCGTGGTCTGGTGGTAGTCATGGCTAACTCAAGTGGTGGAGGAATAAGAACTACAGTTAACTCCTTGTCAACGATTGGTAGAATTTGAGCGACGGTTAGTGATGACACATGAAAGTATCTACTTTAGACTCCCGGTTTGTTACTTAATTAATGTGCGTACATTTCCCATCATTAGCATCATAATACATTGAATTATTGTTGTGATTGCTTCAAGTGCGTTCAAACAACCCTATGATTGCTTTTATACAATTCATGATTTGCTGGCCATGTGCTTGGAGCGCTCTCATTAGCCAAATGATACTAAAGTGGTGAATTTCCCTCTTCAAAAAGCCTAACAGAAAATCTATGAATAGAGCACTAGAACTAGCTAGAAAGGAGGAGGAAACGAGAGGTCAAGGAAGGATTGTTACTCTGCCGACATAGCAATCCTTCTGACTTAGAGCGACATCGCTTACGTGGTAAAATCGGTGTCCTTGGGCCTGATTTTACAGTCCTAACTGCCGATCTATGTGGTTTCCTAGAAGCTTCGTCAATGTTGAACACCGAGAAAACCTTGCCCATGATTAGCTAGTTTCTTAGTTGTGTAGGTATGCGAATCCAAGGGGTTCTATTCTTGTAAACTCGATGGTTTGGTTTAATACGATTATTTTATTTCATATGTTTGCCTCTTTTCATTATTTTTTTATTCGAATGATTGCTTAGTCGACCTTGCATTCCTTCGAGATGCAATGATCGAAATCCTATTCGTTTATGATAGGAATGGAATTAGCAGTCCTACTCGATCGAACCTCATTCGATCAAACGGCGTGTCTCCTCAATGAACAAATTTGAAGGGACCTTGTCTCCCATTTGTTCGGGTAAATACTTCGACACAACGTGGGATCTAACGAAATAAGAAATCGACAGCTCGCATGCTCCAATCATCGAGGGCGCAAGGTTAGAAAACCTTGTAACCAGTAACGGTAATCGATTTACCCCCTCTCATGCTCGACATACCGTTTACCGGTTAGGTCGATAACAGGTAAACCAGTTACCGACCGATTGTCACCCCTACCCTAAATACTATGTAAACCTAGAGATTGCCAAATTGTAACGTTACCCTAACAGCAAACTAAAGATAGGTTGAGTTTGATTCTAATTAAGCTTGAACTGCGACAAGTATCACCAAATTCAATACTCGATGAACACCATTTAACCCGGCGGTACTCTGGGCATTTAATCGAGCGATGTGACGGAACTATATACCTAAATGCTCGACCTCACCACGAAAATTGTGTTTTTGTATTGTACAAATTTCATTCATGTTGGTTGCGTTATTCCAGTGCGTGTCAGAGGAGCAGTTGGCGCGCGATAGAGAATTAGTTACGTTGCGACATTTCAGCCACCAGCGCGCCCACCACAGCTTCAAACCCAGAGCTATTTCCCGCCACAAATTGGTATTTTGATTCAGGAAGGACCCCAGTGTTCCTCAAATTGATTGACGTTCATGCATGGCAGGGAGGACTTAAATACGGCTCTGATGAAGAAATTGAATTTGGAGAGAGAAATGCGCACGTTGCTGGTTTGAAATTGAAGGCCTATCCAGAATTAAATGCCACTCTTGAATTTTTTTATCCGGTGCCAAGCCAAGTCATGTGATGTGTTCTTTATTTTGCAACGCTCCCACACCCCATAATAGGACACAAGGGTAGGGCTGTCCATATGGTTTTGGTTTTTTGGTTTTAACCGAAACCAAACCAATTGGAAAGCTAATGGTTTCAGTTTTTTGGTTTTAAATCAATAAGCAACTTAATGGTTTTGGTTTGGTTAAAATCGAAAAACCAATAGAAACCATTAAGCAACCAATAAGAACAAAATCATTTATCAACAAATAATTTTTTTTTGTTTTTTTTTTACACGCATGCCAACCAATAATTTGTAACGGCCATTTATCATTATTATGACGTTTATTCAATAAAAAGGAGGGAAATGAGAATAAATATGAGTGTATGAGTACATGTTGGTTTTTTGGTTATCCAAACCAAAACCAAAACCAAAACCATTAAAGCCCTTATTGGTTTTTGGCAACCGAAAACCGATATGGACCTTAATGGTTTTGGTTTTGATTTTTGGGATTTGGTTTTTGATTTTTGGTTTTTCATACTTAATGGTTTGGTTAACCAAACCAAACCAAATTGACAGCCCTACACAAGGGCAACCAAAGTTGGGGCGTCTCAGGCGTCGATCGAGCGGTCTAAACGTTGAATTGATTCGTTGGCATTATGCAAATACTACTGTGTTCATTCAATGGTCAGAAAGCGCCCAATGCTTGATCAAACGACTCACAGTCACAGAGCATAATCTCTGTGAACATGTGTTCACACACTGACTTCGTTGTAAGCACAATAGGCTTATTGTCCTGAATATATATGTGGAGTTGGTGCATTATAGCACCGTAGGCCGCATAGGATTTATTACTACTATTATTATTGTCTTCCGTATTAGAGTATTGAGTTATAATTATGGTTATTCGTATTAGTTTATTGTGTCTTGTTGGGTTACGATTAGTTTATCTTATTTGAGTGGAAATAAAGATTATGAGAATAGTCATATAAATATATACATTGTTTGATAGTTTACATCAAGGAATAAGATCAGTCAAATAGATTAATAGTAATTAGCTATCTTTATCTCTTAGTATTTAGTTTGAGATCCACCACGCGTGTCTCAGTTTTCCAATTCATTGGAAAACATCATCAAAGGAAAAATCAGACAGCCAAGACTATAGTGGCCCCTATTCCCACCTCTGCCTGCATCTTAATGTTTTAGTAAGGAAGATGTTGAAGCTTGAAAGCTCAGAAATTAAGGTTCGAAAGGACGTAAAGAAGGTTTTTCGAGTTTCAATTGAAAAAGAACATTGTTGTGAACTACCAGTTGATTGACAATTTTTCAATGATCTATCACGAATTAAATTATTTAAGTGTGAACCGTTCATTATATCAGTTCACAATTCTTAATTAGACAGCCAAGACCATATATAGTGGCCACTATTCCTGCCTCTGCCTGCATCTTAATGTTTAAGCTAGGAAGAGGTTGTAGCTTGAAAGCTCAGAAATTAAGGTTACAAATGATGTAAAGAAGGTTTTTCGAGTTTCTATTGAAAAAGAAGACTGATGTGAACTATCGGTTCATTGACAGTTTTCAATGATCTATCACGAGTTAAATTAATTAAGTGAACCGCTCATTATATCAGTTCAAAGTTCACACCAATTCGATTATGACAAATTTAAATTTTCTGATGAGACCATAAATATTCTATGATTTCTTGGATACAGATATATGTTCTCTTCTTAGCCCCAAACTCTTATATTTTCAAGCCTTCAATCTCTTAGTGACTTAGCCATAAAAGAACTGTAAAAATTAAATCCCATCACGTATGTAAATGGTGTATTCAATACCCCCATGAAAAATTTAGTTCAGCATCCTAGAGTAGAAGAAAAATCCAATAGTTCAATGGCCAAAGTACCATTAATCTTAAATTCAACACAAGTACAACACAAGCAGTACATCTTCCAACAGTAAACCAGTGACGTCGTAGAAATTTCAAGCTGCATAATTTGCAATAACAATTTGGTGACATAATTAAACACACGTGCTTCAAAAACAACCAGTGGAAATTCAGGAAAATGTAGCATCATCAATTCATCATTAGCTCGCTAGGCTAAGCTAAGCTAATTTAGGCACCCAACAGGTTCCCCAGGGCAACTTTAAACGCCTGGTTGGTCGTCGTGTACCCTCCATCCACCATCAAGTTGACCCCACTCACGAACCTCGCCTCGTCACTCCCCAAGTACACCGCCGCCGCCGCCACGTCGGACGGATCCGGCACCACCCCTTTCAGGTTCGCCGACGCGCAGATCACCTCCTCCACCACGGCCTTGTCCGCCGAGCCCATCGCCTCCCTCAGCAGCGGCGTCGCCAGCGCGCAGGGGGAGATGCAGTTCACGCGCACCCCGTGCTCCCCGAGCTCCACGCACAGGTTCCTCATCAGCCCCACCACCGCGTGCTTCGACGCCGTGTACGCGTGCGGCGACTCCCCGCACGCTACGGACGCTATGCTCCCCGTGAACAGGATCACCCCGCCCCTCCCCGCCGCCACCATCACCCTCGCCGCGTGCTTCGCGCCCAGGTACCTAACGGTAATGTTGTTACGTATTATACAATGATTGTGAAACCATACCGAAAGCCATACTTAAAAAGTTCGTTATGATGTATTCGATCTTCAAATTATAGTTTAAAGAGGATTCAATAATTTCATACTTCTAAATCGCTTTTCTAATCAAAAAAATTTCGAGTCGAAATGCTGGTATAATACGATTTTACAAACAATATTTATGTGTGTTTTACTTGAGAATTAATCTTGGTTTAGTGAAGATAGAGTACCCGCCGTACACGTTGACATCCATGACGCGCTTGAAGTTGTCGTTGGACTCGAGCTGGATCGTGGAGTCCACGCGCCCGCTGATTCCGGCGTTGTTGTACATGATGTCCAGCTTCCCGTAGCGGGAGACGGCGAGGTCGACGGCGTCGCGGACGTGGGCGTCGTTGGTGACGTCACAGTGCACGTAGGAAACGACGTCTTTGGTGCCGAGCTGGCCGCAGAGAGATTGGCCCAAGTCGTCTTGGATGTCGGCGACGACGACTTTGGCACCGTGGCGGACGAAGAGCCTGACAGTGCTTTCGCCGATGCCGCTGGCGCCTCCGGTGATTATGGCAACTTTGCCTGCCAGCCTGTCGTGAAGGGAAACAAATGTAAAGCAAAATATATGAGAACTGAAATGAACTGAGGGAAGAGATTAAACAAGGCAAGGAGACCTTTGGGCGGCGGGCGGGAGGGGTACTGAAGGAGGCGGCGAGTGGGAGTGAGAGCCGTTCATTGTGTTTTGCCTGAAATGGAAAGGAAAATAAGATAGACAGATAGAGAGAGAGAGATTTAGTTGTGGGGAGGATTTTTGTGTCGGCACTCGGCATGTTATTATATATTATATTGACTGACAAAGAATAGAGACTGTGACGGTTGTCGACCAATGAGATTGGGACACGGTGGATCTCCCAGCGTTTGGCAAATGATTTTTTTCACACTTTTTGTAGGGCTGTTAGCGGTGCGGTTTCGGTTTTAACCGAACCGCAACCGCGGTTAACCGCAGCCGACGAGTACCCAAAAACAGCAACCGCCACCGACACCGATAGACTTATCGGTTAGCCGAAAACCGCCGTCGACGGTTTCGGGTCGGTGTCGCGGTTAGCTGAAGACCGACGGAAGGGATGGGTGGAAGGGATGACGGCGATTTCAGCTTCAGGGATGGCGGTGAGGATGGAACAAGGCGATGCAGGGGACGATGACGGCGACCAAGGATCGGCCTGCTGCGACTGCCGGCGACAGAGGATCGATCAAATCGACCTGCTGCTACTGCCGCCTGGCCTTCGATCTGGAGAATGAAGAAGGACGAGATGACGTCGGGATGGCGACGACGACCGGCGATCGATCTTCACCATTGCAGCTACCCCTTCTCCTTCTTGGCCTTAGTTCGCTGGATTTCGATGGCGGACGGAGGGGTTGAGACTTGGAATCGGAGGGAGATTAAGGAAAAAAGAGCGCCGCCACAATCCCCGCGTCTTCCTCATCGTCGCAGTCGCCATCCCCGAATCATCGTCACCATCGCCTCGTCTTCCCTCTCTATTTCTCTCCCCTTTCACTTGTTCTTGTTGTTGCATGTTTCGATCTAGGCAAGATCGAGACTGAGGGTGCAGATCGAAGGCGGTCTCAAATCTGATGGTGAGACTGAGAAGAGAGAGGGACCAGATCAGGTGTGATTGAGATGTCGCCGTCGTCATCGTTTAACAGGGTTGCATGTGCGGAGAGACGCTCCTCAAGGGTTGGGTTGAGATGTCGTCGCCTCCGACTGAGTCTTCATCTGCCAGAGGCTGAGGCGGCCGGAGGGAGAGCAGAGCGAACAAGAATTGGAGAAGAGAGAACGAGAAGAAGAGAGTAAGTGGCACTGTGGCAGAGTGGAGGTGTCGCGGGACGGTTACTCGGTGCACCGAGTTTATCTCGATTTCTCCGGCCACCTGCGGTTTTCGGTGAATAGAAATCACCAAAACAGAACACTGCCACCGCCACCGAAGGCAAGATGTCGGTTTTTGGTTCGGTTAATAACCGTTCAGTTCGGGTCGGTTTTCGGTTTAGCCGAGAAACCGCCAACCGATTATCACCCCTAATTTTTTGTAATAAGAGCGCGGAAGTGGGGGAGCAGCATAAATGAAAGGGAAGCTCAGAAGCCTACGCACTTTGAGAAATATAAGAACGAAACACATAAAGCGCAACGATTTACGTGGTATCCTTGCTCATCATGAGCAACACTAATCCACGGAAGACCCACACAAGGGGTCTTCGGCTAGAGTTTTATTATTAGGGTTTGCAAAACTCATAAGCTCTCTACAGGAGCATGCACACGGCAGCAACATATATATGGGTGCACTATATCCCATATCACCACTCAACTATGGTATAAGTGCTAAACAGTCCCTAACAATTAATTAAACACACTACGTACTTAACACTCTACTAGTACGTAGGTCATAACACGCCCCCTCAAGCGCAGGCGTGAATGTCATGAAGGCCAAGCTTGGACGACAAGAAGGAAAACTGGTCCGCGCCTAATTCCTTGGTGAAAATATCGACAACCTGATTAGTGGACGCAATCTTCTGTGGCTGTATTTCGCCAGATGTTACTCGCTCACGTACAAAGTGGCAATCCATTTCCACATGCTTTGTACGTTCATGAAAGACAGGATTGGCAGCAATATGTAAGGCTGCCTGATTATCATAGTGAAGAGGAATTGTCGAGGTGGTGGTCACGCCCAGGTCACCAAGCAACCATCGAAGCCAAACAAGCTCACTGACAGTGCTAGCCATGGCGCGATACTCTGCTTCAGCCGAGGAGCGAGCTACGACAGATTGTTTCTTGGTTCGCCAAGATATTGGACAATCACCCAGCTGTATAAAGTAACCAGTAGTGGAGCGACGCGTACTCTGGCAGCCACCCCAATGTGCATCACAATAAGCTGTCAAACGGAGCTTACCAGTCGTAGGGAAACGAAGGCCTCGACCAGGCGCCCCCTTAAGATAACGCAGCACTCTGTGAGCTGCATCCTCATGCTCCTGGCGCGGGGAATGAACAGCCTGGCTCAAGATGTTAACTGCATAGACAATGTCGGGTCGAGTAACAGTCAAATACTGCAACCGGCCAACGAGACGACGAAAACCAGAAGGGTCGCGAGCAGCTGGACCCTCAATCCTGGTAAGATGATGATTCTGCTCGATCAGAAATGCACAGGGCTTGACGCCCAGTGCTCCAACGTCTTTAAGTATATCAAGTGCATACTTTCTTTGTGATAATACAAGACCAGTGCGAGAACGGGCAACTTCAATGCTCAAGAAATATTTCAAAACACCGAGATCCTTAATACTGAACTGATCCTGCAGAAAATCCTTGACACGCTGAATAGTAGCCAAGTCGTCGCCACCAAGAATGATGTCATCCACATAGATCAATGCAAAGACATACACCCCATCACGTCGATAAGTAAAAAGAGAGTGATCAGCATAGGATTGGATAAGTCCAAACTGCAGCAGAGAATGAGTAAACTTCATATACCAATTACGAGAGGCATGTTTCAAACCATAGAGGGACTTGCGAAGTCGACACACCCGGTTGTCCCCCTGACAAGCAAAACCAGGAGGAAGTTTCATATAAACCTCCTCATCAAGATCACCATGGAGGAAGGCGTTGTTAACGTCGAGTTGATGAAGATGCCAGCCGCGATGAGCAGCCACAGCGAGGACAGAACGAACCGTCACGAGCTTCGCAACTGGAGCGAAGGTGTCGTGATAATCGATGCCCTATATCTGTGTGAATCCCTTAGCGACCAGACGAGCTTTATACCGCTCAACACTGCCATCAGGGTGAAACTTGATTTTATAGACCCATTTCGAGGAAATGGCACGTTTACCAGGCGGCAAATCAGTCAATTCCCAGGTACCATTGGCTTCCAAAGCAGCAATTTCACGTTGCATAGCTTCACGCCAACAAGCAAGCTTAACCGCGTCATGAAAGAACTGCGGCTCCACCAAAGTATCAACAACTTACACAAAAACACGATGATTAGCTGAGAGACGAGTAAAAGTAACATAAGCAGAGAGCGGGTATTTCACATCCGCAGTATGAGAAGTAGGGAAATGAGTGTCATAACCTTCGAGCCGGACAGAAGGACGCCGCATTCGATCACCACGTCGAAGGGGTGGTGGTGGAGGAACAGGAGCCGGGTCCACTATGGTGGGCAAAGGTGGCGTAACGGAAGGAGGAGACGAAGAAGCATACGGCTCCACAGGGGAAGGATCCAAAGCAGCAGTCTCCAAGTGACATGGGCTGACGGGCGAAGAGGTGGAGGCACCATAGTGGTCAGCGGCAGTAGGAACCGAGAGGGAAGGAGGATCCAGTGGTAGCGGGGATATTGTGGGTTAAGAGACAACTAAGACAAGCTCATCATCATCATCATCATCATGCGTTACAGGAGGGAAGAGCTGGCGCGGCATGGGTGGTGATATGTCACTGGCTAAGGAGTGAAAAGGGAAGGTCGTTTCCTCAAACACGACGTCACGATAGGTAAATAACCGATGAGATGATAGCTCGTAAACACGATACCCCTTCTGGGACGGGGGGTAACCAAGAAAGACACACGGACGACCTCGCTCACCAAACTTATCCAAGTGGTGACGGGTATCTTTCGAATAGACCAAGCAGCCAAAAGCTCAGAGATGAGAGTAGCTGGGAAGCTTGCCGAAAAGCCGTTCATACGGGGTCTGATTGCCAAGAGAACTGTGCGGAAGGCGATTGATCAAATAACCAGCAGTGAGGACACACTCGCCCCAAAAACGCTTAGGCAAGTTAGCATGGAAGCGAAGGGCACGAGCCGTATCCAAAATGTGTCGATGCTTACGCTCGACGATTCCGTTTTGCTGCGGAGTATCGACACAAGAAGTTTGTAAGTGAATGCCCTCATCAACATAAAAATCGACCAAGTCATGGGATTGAAACTCCGTCCCATTGTCGGTCTGAATCACCTTGACCGAAAGCACCAAACTGCGAGACACCTGTCGAACAAAGAGTTTCAAGTATCTAGCAGCTTCAGATTTGAACTTAAGAAGATAAATCCAAACTCCACGAGTGAAATCAACAACAACTGTAAGAAAGTATTGAGCTCCACTCAAAAAAGGAACTTTGTAACCACCCCAAATTTCAATGTGAACAATCTCAAAAGGCCGAGTACTGCGAATTGAGCTGGAAGGAAAAGGCAAACGAGACTGCTTTGCTTGTAAAGAGGAGGAGCAAAGAGTGTTACTATGTCTACTAGTGGTGGGTACTAAATGCAACAAATCCAATTTCTCCGGCGACGGGTGTCCCAGCCGAGAGTGCCAAAGATCAGGTGAGACACTTCTATGAACAGCACAGACCATCTCGCGTCGGACCCCATCAAAAAGGCATAAATGGTAGAGACCGTCAACTTGGCTCCCCGTCCCAATAATCATCTTCGAGGACAAGTCCTGTATCACACAGAAGTCCCGAAGAAATATCAAAGACAGAGAAAAATCCCGAGTAAGCTGACTAACAGATAACAGGTTGCATTTAAATTCCGGAACCAACAGCACACGAGGTAAAGCCCATTAGACAACCGAACTTCACCAATGCGAGTTACTCCAATAGTCGAACCATCAGGAACTCGTACCTGCAGACCCGAGTTGGCCTGTGACCCGTGAACTAGTTTTGGATTGTTCACAATGTGTTCGTTATAGCCGCTATCGATTAACCAATCATCATTCAGCGTGGAAAAAGAAGGTAAATTACCTGTAGCCTTATTTGCTGGGCTCGACATTTGCTTCAGCT